ATTTTAGTACAACCTGGAAATTAATTGGTATGAATATACGTGAATCTATTGAGATAATTAAATGTAAAAAAAAAAAATTAAATTATTGAATAAGGATGATGGACCTGATGGAAATGTTATCAACAGATGGCGTTTAATTTTTTAATGCGTAAATTGGTGGTGATAGTTGTATAAATGTTATTTTTTGCAAAACATTACACTCCTGAGGATGACGCAATAGTATACGTCGAAACATGTAGTGTAAAAAATTGTTTTCCAGTTTCATCGGGTTTTTTACCACTCTTTAGGCTTGTACAGTAAGTTATTATTTTAGTAACTTGGAGACTGGAAACAATCTCATTTCTATAGAATTGTGTAAAAAATAAGGTCTGTTTTATATTTCCAAACATAAACACAGTCTTATATTCAGTGAGAAGTCAGATGATATCACATAGAGATGTTTAAATCATTGGTCTGCAGAGAGTACTGCTGACGATAATGTTCGTATATATTTATTTAAGTTCTATAGATTTCTGGAAAATATTTTCTTTTGAAATTATTTGGCACCTCCCTTATTTGAATTTCAATATACTGTACATTTTTCTGTCGTGCGGGAAAGAAACATGCAAGTTGCATAGTGTGCTAAATTAAAATTTCACAAACCAGAGAAATATATTTCATGTGTGTAACAAATACATAAATGTTTTTTTTTAACTGTACAAATGTATGGAACGTTGATAAACTAAACTTTAGTTTTACACAATGTCTACTGCACATATTAATAACTTTACAACACAATATCAGTGTTGATTACATTTCTTGACGTATTTTCATACCATATTAATGATCAAATTCTGGTGGAGAGAACAATTCTTTCATTCAGTATGACTAGATAGTTCTTTATTTCATAATACATCTTACAACACATAATTTTATATTGTTATTTCAAAAAATAAATACATTTTTGTAAACATCAAACACACTTTACAACAAGAGTTAAATTACATTCCACATTAAATAGCTATTAACTAAACTTGCATACAAATATTCTTCTAGCAGTGGTAAAGTTAGTCACAATAGTCTTTTACATCATTTATATATGTATATATATTAAAAATCTTTAAAGGAGGGCTGGCAAGATCAATATCCAAAAATCATTATTCAAGAAGTATCTCATTGAATTACATAGCACAAACACGAATCTTTGATAACATTTTTTGGGTCAATGAGCTCAAAACAAAATAAAACAGCAGATGGTTATATTTTGTATTATCAAAAAGTCATTTTAGCACGTCTTATTACTTAAACTATATGAAAATTTCATGTAGATTACATTGTATATTATGGGTTTTAACAATATTATTTCTGAAAAAAAAAAAGAGGAGGAATTTACAATTGGAAAAAAGTAAGAATTTCCTCATTTACCAAGATGCCAAATCCATAGTTTGAATGTTTAAATAAGTTTTTAACAAAATAACATCTTCATACATTACTTCATGGATATCAAAGAATCCAAGTGATATGAGATGAGGTGGGATTGAAATACAGGGATCAAAGATCAAGATACTTATATCAGAATAACTGGCAAAATGATATAATACTATGAATATAAGTAAAAAAAAGTGGTCATTCAGAGTGACCTTTATGTCTCCAAAGATGTCCCCAGATGAAATGAAATTCATTTTATACATTAAAGAACACATAAAAAGGTAAATGTAGCTATATATATGAAAGTACTTCAAAAAATAGTCCAAATTCATCTTTTATACCACATTCACATTAACTACACTCACATAGGTTTCTTGCCCTTTGACCTCCATAAAAAAGTACAATTCGAAGACATTTTTTGGTTAAAGACTAGTTTAAACACAAAACCGTGGATTTGGCAGTAAAATTTAAATGATGAATAAATTCTAGCATTTTACTTTTTTCACTAGTAAATCCTTTTTTTTTTTTTTTGAGAAATAATACAATTAAAAGTCAAAATGTTCAAACAGAATCATAATCTCATGAAATTATCTTATTGTTATAGTGGCTAAACATGGTACAAGTAATTTTTAATCCCTTTTTTTTTGCATATGCAAAAATCTTTATTTTACACAACAGCATCCTGAACAAAATTTACACATCTGGCATTCTGTTTCTGTTGTCTCTACTGACCTAAAACTGGTTACTAAAAATTACATTTTCTCTATGTATTTCAGTAACATAATACTTGGATACAAACTCTGATAATTACAATTAGTCACTGAAAATTTTCAAGATTTAAATAATTGTTTGTATATGCACTTACTATTTACATAAGATATAATGAATGCAGACTAAACTAACCAGATTTTCCCGAGTAACAGAATCAAAGTTGAAATAAAGCATTACTTATATTTAAATGGTGTCAATGTACAATTTCAGGTTATTATTATGTCAATGAAAGTTATATGAATTTGTATATAAATATATATATTCTAACATCTGAGAAAAAGAAGCATCTATATATACCTTCAATGAAATATCAATTTAGATCCAATAACTGCTGAGAACAATGAGTGGTGTGTGTATGTAAGACAAGAAACTATAGAGTGGGAACGGAAAGCTGTTTTCTGATGAAAGATGAATACGTAAGAAGTAGGACCATGCAATGGTAGATATTATAACCTTTGTTCATAAGCTTTACATTAAGGAAATTTAAAAACAGTGGTCGTGTATGCTACAACCTATAATGTCCCACATCTAAAATATCACCCACGGTCTGCACCAAGTTAATAAAACAACAAAACAGAAACAAGTTACAGTATCAAGGACAGACCACAAGAAATTATAGGGAAAACTTATTCCTGGTATTTCATCTGCAGCGTAAACAATAACTACATCCAAGAATGATAAAATTAGTAGACAACAAAATGTGTCATCAACCTACCTAAATCTACCAACACAGTGTAGCACCTCAACTTTCACCCTAAAATATAGCTACTAAAACATGCATTTAATTTTACATCCATGCTCCTTATTTTATGCCTGGCTGTAGAAGATTAATTAATATCTATACTCATGTACACACATTTTTATTGAAGAAGTTATGTCTTCAAGGAATTGAATTTGGATTGCCTTGAACACAGATCAGTTCTAAACCAATTTCGGAAGATAAATACAAACAAAATATAGAATTGCTAGAATTATTACAGGTGACAACATTTTAAAAGCACCCGCTGCATGAGAAAAACATACATACATAGCAAAATTACATTTGAATTTACTATGTACAATAATTAGATTTATTAGAATAGCAACATTTTAATTTACCAGTAGATTATAAGTATAAACTTTACCTATATTAAGCTTATTACAAAATAAATCACAGATCAGAAAAATTTCATTTTATTTAAACCATTTTCTTTTTTACACATTATCACTCATGAGAATTGTAAAGCCTACATATATTGTGGACTGATTATTATATCTTGTCAATCGAAATAGAAATAATTACACTGTACACTAAATGGTAAATCACTATTAACTGCAAAATTTAATCAAATGATACATTTCTGTAATGGGAAATGATTCATTACTTTTACATGCATAATAATAATAAGTACAGACTGCAAACTGTTTACTAAAAATGTTCTTTTTAATCAGTTATTATATATACTCTTGAAATTGTTAGAGAAAACAGTCCAAATGTTCTGTGAACAAAATGAAACTTTGTCACTATTTTATTATTATTAAAGATAGAAAAGCAAATTATCATGACCTTCAAGGAATTTATTTCTACAGTTCTTTGTATCCAGTAACACTTGGCACTTTTTTATTAAGTTTTCAGTAAATACACAAACATGCATACATTATGTGTAAAGTAAAAATAATAATGCAGAGATTAAAAGCAATGGAACCAAAAAAGTCTCAAAATAGTATTAACATAACTACTTCCCGATTAGTTCAGAACCACATAAAACTCCTTCCCGTTACAATGGTAGTCCTCAACAGGTTTAAAGTCAATTACAGATTAAATTGTGGTAGTTTTCCTTCATTTTTAGATAATGGCTATATGTTACACTGTTTGTTACATGGTGTCTATAAATAGTTTTACCTATTATAAAACATTACAACTTTTAAATTAAGACAGATAAAGACATACAGTATTTATCAAGTATGATAGTCACAAAGTTTTATCTTGCCAGTTTAAGCCAAAATTTTTAAACACCACCACCAAAATGGAGTGTTTAACAAAAACAAAAAACATAGATCACCTTGTGATATGTCGAAATCTAATTTTTTTGTTCTCATAACTTTATTATGCATGAGCACAAACAAACGATGCAATTAAGTAAGTATCATAAGAAGTTGAAGGGCACAGGATCTGTGTCCCAAAAGCAGAGTTCTACAGTCCAGTTAAAGTGAAAAAACTCTTTCAATGTAGCCTAGGAAATGCTACGAGGAGGATTACTGTTGAATTTGACAAATCAAGAGCCACAGCATTTAAGACTCTAAAAATATATAACTATAAGCATAGAAAAATCAGAAGGTCCAAATAGCTGCTTGAAGAGCACTATAATGAGTACTGTGTTTCTCAACTGGATGGACCTAAAAAATACATTTATGAATTGCACAAGGAAAATTCTGTCTGTTGGGAAATAAACAGGTATAACTGTTGAAGGTAGAGAGATGAGAACTCATATACCACTCAGGAGTACATGTGAGATTCACCAAACATCAGTGTTTGATGTGCTGTATCATGACAAATGATCTAAAGTCCCTATTCTTTCCAAGATAAAACAGTCACTGTACTCATGTTCCTGAACATTCTGGAGAGTTTTCTTTTTATGTGTGAAACTACTGTCCACGGTGATACACTATCTTGACCGAATTTATGGCTATGGGGAAACATTAAGTCTTCAATTTACACTCAACATCTAGTTATGCTTGCTAATATCATGAATTTTATCAAAGAAACAACTGATTGAATTCCAGAACATGTGTTCATCAATTTGTTTGATGAATAGCAAAGACAACTGTGTAAATGTACCGAGATAAACCACCAGAAATCATGCCAAGATGATATAAATCCTGAGGGTACCAACTCATTCTCTCTCTCTTTATCTTTGCTTAAAAGTTATTATGTTAAAACCTGTAAAACCATTTTTAGACATCTTGTTTTACAATCAACAAAATTATCTTTTTACATCAACAAGTGAGGAAAACAAGTCAATATAACGTTTGCTATAATTAATTCACAAAATCACCTAGATTTCATATTATTGCTTCACTCCAGAAATTATTAATTCTTTAAAAAACAATAAGCAGCATACATGTCAATATTAGTTTCTCAGACTATTCAAATAATTTTGGGCAATCATGTTACCTTGATAGAGCATGTGTGTGTATATATAATTATTTATACATTCATCATATTCTAAGATCTGTGAGGATGGATTCAGAAATTTGTAATCTCCACAAAATATTTTAGCAATTTTATCACACGTACATTTTTACAGTAAAAACTTCTAATTACACTTATCTATAGTGTATATATTTAAATATATATATGTTTAAATAAGTTTAAAATGAATAAATACTGTCTAATAATACAAATGTGTGTATGACAAAGTCTATACAATATTATACAGGGCATGAGGGATTTTTGTAACATTTTGTAAATGTTGTGAAGAAAACAAACCTAAACACTTCATACAAAAATAAGAATGAGATATTTTTGCAAGTTTCCTCTAAAGGCTAATAAGTAATTTTATACTTTTCAGATCAACAAATTAGGATGTTTGCACAATATATCACAATTATGTTAATATTTAGAATAGATATTTGGTATGAACAACAGTAATAACAATAATAACGTTTGAAACCACACATATAGATACAAACAAACACGGACAAAGAAAGAAAATCATTATCAATTATTTCTAAACCACTAACACTGTACCTCAAAATTACATAATTCTATTTTGACAGCTAAACATTATACAGCTATAACAAAAAATATTAAAGTCAACAAGCATAAGGACATTATGAGCTGCATTTACAATATTTCTGAAACAGAACTTTGCCCAATTATAAGTGGGAAGGATCTGAAACCAACATACTAAGTAACAATTACCATTTTAAATGTGGTAAAGAATAACTTCATGCAACAGTACGGATGTTTTGAAATACATTATTTAAGTCCCTTTGAAAATAACTTTAAAGTGATCATACTAAACTTTGTAAAATGAAAGTTTCTCATCCTTCTATGTATTTTTATTTTACTTACAGATGTCAAGAATGACACTAAAAGAGGCAAAACATCTGCATTTCAAGAGAAAGAAGTTCAGCTTTCCAAATGTATCGGACATGTTTCGGATTAACCACAGAAAAAAAAATGCATTATTTGAAGAACTTCTTTTACTTTAATATAATATGATGCACTAACCAACAAATACTCAATTAACAGAAATGTATGTGATAGTGTAAAGAAACTGTAGAAACGCAATGGGTGAGAAGTACTGAAAGATAGCTTTTAATAAATTTTGATTATTCTCGCTTCATGTAGTTACTTTTCTTCTATAATGTTTTATAATGCATTAACTAAGGTGTAAAAAAGAGATGGTCTTTAATGCCGAGGTCCTCCAACCTGTCCACGAGGTTGAGCTGCTTTTATTTTTTTATTTTGTAACATATCCACTTAAAAGAAAGCCTAGTTCAAGTTTAATTGAAAGGAGTTAATTTGTTGATGAAAATAATCGTTGTAGCACCTGCATGAAAATTAAATATAAAACAAATAAAATAAACAAATACAGAAAAGATTTGTAATTAACATGAAAAAGGCTTCATGGTGATCTGACAATCATCATCAACATGATGGAGACCACTTCTTTATAGACGTAAAATGTTTAAATGTGATATTTATAAGTTAATTTTCTAATAATTATGCTTCAAAACTTGGAAGCTACATTACGGTGGCTTGCCATATTTGAATATTTACTGAGCTTACACATTTTTTTTTGTATTATATAATATTCTAATTCTTGATGAGTTGAAACTTAGCATGAATTAATATTTTATTGTTCTGTTAAATCTTTTTATTTCTGTTTTGTCATCTTTTGATCTAATATAAAACTGGGCCAGAATTTATAATGTTATTTTGATACTATTAACATGGCAACATGCTAATTTTGCATACAGTGATTTACAAGCTTTATAGCTTTCTAAAGAGTAAATATGAACTAAAATTTCATTCACCTTTGTCACTAAAATTGCTAAAGATACAGTAGTTCATTATATTACAAAAATGTAAGCAGTATCACTTATTTTACCATGCCAAGACAAATCACATCAAGCACATTGGATTAACTGGTTTTCAAATTTTTTTTTTTCAAGCTTCAGTACATTATCACAGGAAACTTGTATACAACTACAGTGACAAATCATGCTTTTAAACCACAAAAATAATAAATGATCGATTTGCCTTAAACTTTTTAAAATGCTTTTGAATTGTACTGTAGTATTTCTATACTACAAGAAAACTTTTTGAATTAAAAGAGGTACTTCAAAAAACTTTATTAAATAGCTTTTTAATAATAATGTTCTTCAGGATACTAATGAAAAAAAAACATTTTTTGATTAAACTGCCTAAGATTCTTATGGTAGTTTTTGAACAATTTCACGATAAGACTATTTAGTGGCTTCTAAAGAAGGCCTATAAGGGACCTACACACATGCTTGAAATGCATAGGTCATTTAAGTAAAAATAAAATAATTTGTATTAATTATCTCTAATATTATTTATGTATAGTAAACAAGATAAAACATGTTATCCACGTTTCAAGTGAAAAATATTAAATATAGTCTTTTAAAGAGATGATTCATAGGAAGCAAAATTTGCATATATTTTTCCTAATTTCTTTATATAGTACAAATGATTTTTAATGATAATTTGTTTTTCTTGAAAATATAAATGTACAAAAGATAATTCATAATTTGGGTCTTGTGATTTGGCTTGGAACAAGTACCATCTAGGCCTAGGGTATATTATTCATAACATTTCTAATAACAGAGACAAGCAAGTATCATTATGTAAAACTAATGGTAGAAATAACACATATCATTGCCTCAAAGTTATTACTTAAACAAAACAGATTTGATTAAAGTTATATTTAAAAATTCAGCATCAAGAAATTTTTGGAGAATATTCTATTCCTAGCAAAGTAACAAAAGTGTTAGGAAAATTTCTGGTCAAAGCAGAATATTATTAAGAGAAAAGGTAATTAACCTACAATTCATAAAAACTGAAAATAAATCTATATACAAGTATAATGATGTATTCACAAAATGGAAATGCTCCATTCATAGGACGACATCAAACAACGATTTTCTTTTAAACAAAATACAATTGTCCACCTAAATTATTCAATACTCAAGCACTAAAGTTTAAATTAAAAAATGATTAAAGATGTTATCAAAATTTCTAATGCTTTAGTTGCACAAACAATTCATCCCCATCAGGCAAAATTTTCTCTTTGACAGAAAACATTCCTGTTGAAAATCTTATTGATTATTGTCTTCAATTTCATATTTAATGGTTTGAAGTATCATACTCGAAACACAAACATTTCTAATAATGGCATACATAAAATCTATCACAAAATTTCTGTAAATTGTAAAGTAAAATATTGATGCAAAATACCATCTTAACTTTCTTATCAGCTCTTGTGTTACAAATTTATTAACTATTCTAGGATACAAAAAAACGTTTACACTCATACACACACACACACACACTCACAGCAATTTCAAATAACATTACATGTTCATATAAGTTCATGTATATATATATATATATATATATATATATATATATATATTATATTACTT